GTGCGTGGATTCCCCGACCCGTGTGTCGACCTTGCTACGTGAGCTGGAGGATGCAGGGGAGGCACTTCAGTATCATGCATATATACTTTCCACACTTCATTCAGTTCGTTCATCATTTCCAGATTTGTGCATTCCATAGTACATCCTAAAAGCCATTATCGTACATGTGCGCGGCTTAGCCCCCAGGTGAAGTTGGCGATCACCCACCACACCATCTCCTCCGTCGACAAGATTGAGTGCGACAAGGAGTTGGCCTTCTTGATGGATCCTCCGAAATCACCGGAGGAAGCGGAGGGTGGGAAACCGCCTAAGAAGAAGCAGAAGAAGAATGCTCCTACCCGATCTATGACCGCCAAGAATTTTGGATCGATTCTCGATGTTGGCAAGATCAAGAAAGCGAGCAGACTGGTCATCGGTTGGCGTGTAAGGCACTCCTTTAAAAGACCTGTTCCATGACATACAGTATGCGCTTAGGGTCTACACATGTATACACTCATGGTGGGCTACATCCATTGAGTATCAATTTGTTACAAACATACATATAATATATAGAACTATATCGGAACCGCACTCATCACAATTGATTCTGCCAGGCTGGACTGCAACAGCAAGGCTGGTGTGAAGACCCTTGTGCCCATCCGACCGGTGGCATGCCTGAATGGTGTGCTGGATCTTGACAAGACCGTAGTGAAGCTTTACTGACTGGTGGGGAGTCAGGCACAGGCTGCCAAGTGATTTGGATATTTGTCAAATAGGTTAGGTGAGCCATGAGTTTTCCCACGTTCTTAGGACAAGGTGTGTCCATGTGGTATTTGTCTCGATATCTTCAATGTTTTGGGTGAGCGTATTTGGCAGCAGCTGTCATGACTATGTTTTTTTGCAGGCAAACCGCCTGCAGGTGATCAAGTTGTTTCTTGAATCTGATGTGACCATGTGTGTCACCCCACACTGCGGCTGACAGTACTGAAACATCAAAGAGTTTAAGAAGACCATTTGGACCAATTGAGATCTATTGTGCTGTCCCTCTCATTGCCGTGAGTGTGCTCCTGGGAAATCTTGGACCGCCCAGATGCCAAAAGTCCCGAATCCAGCCTCCACAGGACAGGTCTCTTTGCTCCGTCTTGCTCGGTCCTGCAAAGCAGGACGATGCCATGTAGAGGAGACATGTTGAACGAGCATGTTGAACAAGTATTTTATATTATGGTTGTAGGCAATCCGTGGCTTCCAGTACGATCATAGTGTCCGGCGGTCGTTATCGGTGGTAGCTGCAATGGATAGACGCGGAAGGCAGTTGAAGAACCTTCCGAGTGATGACTCGGATGTCGTGTATGTCCCACATCAACCGCGTCAGAGTTCCTTCACAACTCCGGCCCTTCAGATGCACTAGACCTAGAACCTTATATAAAGTCAAAACGGTGGTGGGCGCAATGTAAAACAGACATGAACTTTGCTCTAACTCAACTTTCTTGCGTAGTTCTAAGGCTTTTGATTTGGCACAGATCATGAGCGAGAATCGTGGGGGCAAGAGCCACGGGGGCTCATCAAGTCGAGCTACCAGTCAACCTGCTCGTCCAAAACCAAAGGTAGCCGCAGCTGCCAGTACTTCTGATGCCCGAAAACTGGCTTTGCATATTTAACCACGCACTGTTTTCTATTGAGCTGGTTTTTGATAGATCCCGTTGGATAGTCGCAGTCCCGGCTGGAAGTGTTGATCCAAGGTGATGAGATCATGCCTGCTCGTGTCAACTCTTCTGAGGAGTCTTCGCCGCCGTTGGGGAAAGAGAAAAACGCACAGAAAACAGACAAGAAGACCAAAGAGAAGTCAAACAAGAAGAAAACCACGAAGAAAGACAAGAAAGACAAGAAAGGCAAAAAGACTCAGAAAAAGAAGAAGAATGATGATGATGATGATGATGGCCCAGATGCTGACAACAACCCGTTCAAAGACAGTGATGATGACGATGATGGTGATGATAACTTGTTTGATGACCTTGTTGGTTTGGATGCCCTTGTTGGTGAGGATAGCTCCGAGAAAGGTCAGCCTAGGAAACGGCCAGCAACGCAGGGGAGGGGTGGGTCCACGAAGAAACCTTCAAAAAAGAAGGAGGACATGCCTGAGGCTAGGTCAAGCCATGATCAGAAATTTGGGAGTCAACAGTGTAGGGAATAGAGTCTGTGTATGCGTTTTCGTGTTTGGTTCAGGCTGGGATGGAGGAGCCCAAGCCATTTCAGTACATGATCGAAGATGCTGATGCCTACAATTTTTACAGGCCCTCAACTTTAACATAGAATGACATGAACAAAGGGTCTCCTGGCTCCAGGTCGCAAAGTATGGGGCTTGATGACTCATTGGTGATGATGGACTTCCCCAAACCTGGTGAGTGACTTGGAGGAAAATGGAGAAACCACTGCCTACCGACGCACTGTTAAACCAAACCTGCAGCCCAGGCGAATGAATCAATCGCCTGACAACCAGATGGGCCTCGCTGACTACTACCAGGCAAGACTGAAGCCAGGTTATACTTTGTGTACTTGTGTATTGTGTATTGTGTACTGTGTACTTGTACTTGTGTACTTTATATTTTGGTTAAAAGCATGTTGTACTTGTGTATTTCTACTTTGCACCAGGCAAATATGATAGGGAATGCAAAACAGGAACACAACCCGTTGAACTTTGGTGAACTTGGCTGGCAGGACCTGCGCATGGCTGATGCCTATGCGGATACCTACGTGGATACTTTCCTGGATTCTGCAAGCGCTGACGCTGAGGAAGACCGATTGGGTTCAACGAGTGTTTCATTCCCATTCAATTTCAATCCCAAAGCTCAAGTCTTTCAACATCTAACCAGACATTCCGACTTCCCAAATAGGACTTGCGTATCTTTGTGGTTATGTCCTTTGGCCTGCCAGCGGAGGATCCATTCCATCCACCTCCCCTCAATCGCGGCTATGCTCATGAGAACTTCGATGAGGTCCTTGATGGTGGCGCAAAACCGCTTGAGGACAATGATCCTGACTTTGCCTTGGCTGTTTCTGAACTTGTGTCAACGGGTTGATTGTGCAGTAAATATCGCAAAATGGAACCACAGCCCCAAAATGTGCTTGTTTCTTGAGGATCCGATTGGTGCTCATCCTGTGGGTGGGAGTCCAACACCTGAACCCATCCCGACTGGGGGTGAACGAATGGAGAATGAGCCCCACGTGCCTACAACCCCAACGGGAAATGCGATTCCGGTGCCCTTCACTCCTCATCACGAATGCGCCACACCGACACCCACCACTGTGGAAAACCCTGCTGAGGGGATACCTGGAAATCATCATGACCCCAATGAAGCCATGGTCGCGTCACCTGAAAGCAAGCATGACCATGAAGCCATGGTCGCATCACCTAAAAGCCATCATGACCTGATGGTCGCATCACCTGAAAGCCAGCATGACCCCAATGAAGCCATGGTCGCAGCACTTGAAAGCAAGCATGACTCCTGGTCCAATGAAGCCATGGTCGCAGCACTTGAAAGCAAGCATGACTCCAGTGAAGCCATGGAGGCATCACCTGAAAGAAAGCATGAACCCGATGAAGCCATGGTCGCGCCCATCCCTCCTTTGCTCCAGGCAAAGCCAAAGGCACGCCCGAATCTGAAGAGGCTCCCCGAAAAGCCGCAAACCGGTAGCAGCAAACCAGCCAAACCGGTCAAGAAGCAAACGAAGAAGGCTTCACCCAAACCCAAGACATCGCCAAAGAGCAAGAAAACAACCAAAGCAACAGCTGGCACGAGGGCAAGGCCGCCAAAGGATGAAGTACAAGCAAAAATGCACTCCGTACTTCAGCTGATATATTTGAACTCCTAATTGAACTACTGTCTCGCTCTGCTTCTAGTGCATCAGTATGCATCAGTACAAGCTCTGGTTTTGTGCCCAGCATACCCCCTTAGGTCTTGACGCTAGTTATCTAAGGTGTACTCAAGCGCCCACAAGTCAGCCAAAGCTGCAATGAAGTCGCCAAAGACTGCCAAGCAGATCGCCATGGATGCCAGGAACAAGCACCAGAGCAGAATAGTTAAAGAAAGGCGTACCAAATAGTTAAAGCTAGGCCCTCCTATGAGCATTTTATTGTGTGATAAAACTTGTAAGTTGCAAGGTGATGTGATCATCTTTCAGTATCTAGTGGATGTGTTCACATGTGCTTTTCTTGGCTCCAATTGCCTGAATCCAAGGTGGGTGTCGGAGTTTGGGCCCCATGATCACCCTGCTGTGAAGCGCTTTCTTTCATTTCATGCAGGGGCTTGATATCAGCCACTGTGGAGTATTTAGATGATCGCTTTGATCTTTTGCTCAATGGCCTTTTAAACAAAACTATATAGTGTAAACAGTGAGTGGCAGTTCATTAGTTCATTGTGTTTTCGGATGGTCGGTCACTTGAGCACTGGCACACGAAGTTGCGCTGAACTCAGCTGGGGATAGAAGAAAAAGGGAATGGATGCTGGGTGTGGAGGCCTACCGGAAAGCCTCAGTTACACTTTGGACAAGTGCTAGTTACAAATGGACAAGCCTAGTGGACTATTGGCCGATATAGCAGTCCACTGGAGGCAAACGTCAAACGCATTCAATCTCTTGAAACGCACCAAGCATCCCCAAGCCACGCAGCAAGCTTCTTCATGTCAAAGCCCTTCTCCGGTGACCGAACTTACAGATCAAGTTCGGTCACCCAGATGCTTCAGGCTTCAAAACCTACCTTACGCACCTTCAGGACCTTGGGGTCACCTGGCAGGAAGCCCAAGCCCCCCCACCACTTAGGGATCTCCAAACCAGGTAGAACTTCAGTAAGCCATAATTCCTGCAATTTGTTGTCCAACAAGAGGTTCTAGATTCTGGTCAATCCCTGGCGACCCGGAAAGTACCTCGCCCTATGGCGCCGCCCTGGCGTCGTACCATGTCGTACCTGCTGAGTTCGGATCATGTCCGTTCGGTACCTTTGGAGGGTCCGGGTGCAGGTCCCTCTCGGCCGAGACGCATGTCCTCCAAGAGTTGCACGCCCAAGGACCAGCCCCGGCCTGGCCCGCGCGGGTCGCGAGGTCGCAGTCGGCCGGGGCGCTTCGGAGTCGGCCGGGCGGTTCGGGGTCGGCGGTTTGGGGGTTCGGTCTGTCGCCAAGTTCGACTCATCGACAGTCTGTCAGAAGTTTCGGTCGACAGGAGGGGAGCAAAGGATAGCAAAGGCTAAGCTGTGTGAGCGGGGTCCCTTGCGTGAACTGCTATAAGCAAATCGATTCTCTGGCATGCAGGGCCCCCAATGAAATCCATCTTCGATGCGCTGATTGGAACATCTGGATGCCTCAATTCCGATCCTCCCTTCAGTCATCTTCAATCCAAATCAGCCGCCAGCTGGATGTGTATCTTGAACTTCCTTCCCACCCCCCCTGCCTTGCTCGCAAGCCTTGAGTGCAATGGCGTAGGATCCGACATTCGGACCTCGGCCATCTGAAGATGGAAGTCTCAACTTCGCCCCCAAACCAAGAGAGGTATCCAGTGACCTGAACTAGGACCCTTCTGGGGTACCTATAAAATAGTCTATAGATTCTATAGGGTCCTTCAACCTCGGAAATCCCGTCGTACCGAACCGGAACACCGGCAAATACATCAGAGTGTCTCCCTGCTCACCGGCAAAACACAGGTACAGATCCCACACACTGGGAATCAAGGAGTGAAGTCTCCAGGTTTGTGGTCCTCCCTCATCCCCAAGTTCTTCGAGCATGGCTAGTGAAGTTGTAGCCAGAACATCCAAGAGGTAGCCAGTGACTTAGGACCCGGAACACTTGGGGTACCCAACTGGGATAGTCTAGTTCAGGTCCTTCAACCTCTGTTGACATGGGGTTGCTTCACATGAAGTTTTGAGGTGTGCGTCGTCCAAGTGTTTGCATCTCCCCATGTTGCTTTTCTCTCGCATGGTTTCGGAGGTAAGTCCGTCTCCTCGAATCGCTTCAACGTCGATCCCAGGACGAGCTGTTTCGTGCAAGAACATCGAGCTGCGAGGTTTCCAAGAACTCGGTTCCAAGCACCCCAAATGGCTGGGGCCCTGGTACACTAGTGGTTTGTTAAGATGTTTTTGAGTCCAGTTATCTAGTACCCTAAGAATCAAGGACCCTCAGTCAGTTCGGTGGTGCGGTGTGCACCCTGTCCTTTCGGGCGGGACCTGTGGGGTCCAAACCCTCCAGCGAACGGTGGTCGGGTCCAATGATTCTTAGGGGTATAGGATTTGATGGTCCCCTAAGGATCCTTGGACCCTCCTCAGAAGGGGTCGAACCCTCTATAACAAGGGTTTGTACCCTCATGTACCCTCAAAACCCGTGTTTCTGCATCACACGCCCGGATCTGTGTGGTGCCACAGGATCCGTTGCCCCGCAACAGCGTTGGCATGAATTGGGAGAACCCGTGGCTGAGATGCCAGGTCCAACTCCTCACCCTGAAGTGCTTCATTCCCTCGACCGAGGGCCAGCCTCACTCGCTTACCAACCCTTTATAGCAAGCCTACTGACCTCGCCACAGGCCACTTCTTGCTAGCGCCCAAACCAAAGGAGCAAACAGCCGCTTCTTTTTACGCACGTTCTTGTGCTCATGAGCTGGTTGGTCAAAGATCTTCTTCGTCATCTGCCTCATCCTCATCTTTCTCCGGAAATTCCTGAGCTCAGCAAATCAGAATCGATGCCGATCTAAGAGTGGCGAATTGGAGAACTCCCGCAAGAACATGCAACCGACCTAAGAATATTCAAGAATCCATTGAACCCGACATCGACACGCGGGGGTCGGACCTTCTCCACCGAAACGCTAGGGCCAGGGCTTTTAAATAACCCCTATAGGGCCCTATAGGCCTCCAAGTACCTTCTGAGAAGGTGTTTGGGGTGGGTTTGGAGGGTCTAAACACCTTCTGAGGAGGTACTTGGAGGTGTAGGGAACCAACACGTACTAAACGGGAACCTTCGCCCCGCTTCGCCCCACGATCCCACGAGCCGCACGTGTGACAAGAGCCCAGTGACATCCTCTGGACATAACCCTGTGGCTCGGTGGCAAACCCATCCTGGGCGAATGGAGGCTCCAAGCTTGCCTGTCCTAATCCCAAACGCTCGATGGGACTGCAATATTTGCATGCATTTGCCCCCCCAAACCACTCCAAAGTGGGCAAGTATGGCATAATTACATGGAGTGTCTGGGAATTAGATCTTATGCTATTTGCCTATACATTGGGGTGATGACAATAAAATGCTTTAAAGATCTTTAAAGGGTAACATGTGCAGGTCAATATTCCACACATTTCGTCTATATCATATCAATGTTAGAACCTCGTGCCCGCGATAGGTTTGGAGTGGTGATTCGGGTGGTCAACCAATCTTGCCTGTCCTACTTGGATCTCACGCTCAGGGTATTTGGGTATAACCTGGATGTCAGTGGATGATGATGGTTAGCAAAGGAATGGACAGGCCGACATCTTTAGAATAGTCATCATTGTTTACAAACAGTTGCAGGTAACGGGGACAAACCCTACATCACTGCTTATAGGTCACCGTTAGAAAACCATTGGAAGCGCTAGGTATAGATGGACAACATATTCAAATCCCCGTGTGAGGGAGCAGTCACGAACCCCTTACCCTCGTTCAATGTTGAAAGCAACTTCTTTCAATTTGCGTTAGGGTTTGATTTGTTTCGTCCATTCGCCAACACACTCCGGCAGGCTCGTTCACATGGGGTTTTGGTGTGGCAGGGGTCAAGGTGGTTTGGAGGGAATGAATATTTTGTCAATCTACGGTAGGCTTAGTACATACCTGGAGTCTCAAAGTACCGGAAAATGGGTACAAGTACCTGTTTTTATCCCATTTTCGAAGGTACTTTGGAGGGTCCAGCTACCTGCCCTAAGAATCATTGGACCCGACCACTTCTGGAGGGTTTGGACCCTGCAGAACGCAGGGGTTTGGACCCGAACCAAACCTTCACCGAACTGAGGGTGCTTGATTCTTAGGGTGAAGAACTAACGGGGCTTTTCTGCTCTAAGAGTCTGAGCTTTATGTTGTTCTTCCTAGGACGTTCATCACATATATTGCATGATACAGTGTATTCACGACACATCATGAACAGCAACGCCCTTTGGGACAGTGATGCGCTACACTATACCTTCTCAGCTCATGGGTGACCACCTGCAAACGAACACAGACCGTGAAAAATGAACCCCTGCCTAAGAATCAAGGGCCCTCAAAAGGTGAAGGTTTTGAGGGTCCAAACCCCTGCTATGCAGGGTCAAAACCCTCCATAGGAGGGTCCAATGATTCTTAGGGCTGTAAAACTCGTCTCATCCACCACCCAGGGGTTTCATGAGTCCCTCTGCAGGAGAAGGTTTGCCAGTTCCTCACTTTGCTGAGGCAAACTATCACAGTCCATCACAATGTGACGCTCTCACATTGGTGGCCTAACCAGATTCTACTACACATCCCACGTCTAGCTATTGTAGTAGAGTCCCTTCATGATCAAACACAGTGACCCGCCAACCACTGGACGAGTTACTTCCGAGCTTGGACACCTGTGATGTATTTCTTGAGCCCCCAAAATAGACCAAAAAGTGCACGTGTAGAGTGTTGATTACAGGTTGATCCATCAAGCAACTCAACAAACTATCCGGGCATGGATGTAAAGCTGGTTTCAGAGTAGATGGCACAGTCGCTCCACCAATTCACTTGGAGGCTTGGAGGTTTAGTCAATCACTTAGGTGGTGGATCTTGGTTGTGGACCCTCTAGTCGATCGACGTGCGCCACGACTCTCACCAGTGCCGCCACACCGAACGGTGCCAAGCGTCGGTCCGTGAAAGCGGTTGAGACTCGAAACCTCAGGGCCCGCCAAGTCTCGTGCCCGCGCCGTGCCCGTGCCCGTGCTTCGCACGTTCCAACGGATGGGTGGCCAGCTGGGTGACCACTGTGGTTCAGCATTCGAAGGCTGAAGGCTGGTAGTTTCCAAGCACGGTTTTTGGTTCGATCCGGGAAGGGCACCACTTCTGGGATTTGCTGAACTGCGGAAGAAGCGGGGGTTCACCGCTTTAAAATGCACATCACGCAAAACCAGGGATTCGATCCCAACGAATCTCAGGCCGTTTTTTTCCCAAGGAGACGAACTCTCATAATATACAGTCCCTAGGGCTCCAACCATACCCTCAGGTTCGGTGGTTAGTTAGACCCCCCAAAACCCACCCCAACCACCTTGTCAGGAGCTAGTTGGAGCCCTGGGGAGTACAAAAAGAGCTCCAAGGAAAACATAAGTTGTTCTCTTAGTCCGTGGCAGTCCGTAAAATTGGGGAAACTGCTGGTACAACACCCCTGTACTGAAGGACAACAAATAGACATAGACACTAAGACCATCTCAAAGCGGCGATAGACCTTCCTCAGAACTCTTGGCTGAAAATTCCCCCAAACTGCCGGTTCTTTACTTCGCCTTTGAGCCCGCCCAAGCCGCACTGAACGGGGTGAACGCAGCGAACGACGCGTTCACGCACCGGTCCCAGTCACTCATCCACCTCCTCAGTGAACCTGGCGGAACAGCGCGGGCGTCGCTTCCGGAGGGTTTGGCCCGATTGAGGCGACAGGGCGTGACATGGCCAAAGGCCGCCGCGCCAGCTGCGCCGTGTCCAAGCGGACGGAGTAAGGTTGTCGGGAGAGATGATTGCTGAACCCATAGACTCCATGGGAGTCTATGGGACTGCCATAGGACTGCCGATCAGTCGGGGTGGTGGTGCCAGGGGGATCAATTGATCGGCAGTCCTATGGCAGTCCCATGGAGTCGTCTGGGGAATGGAAGGAGTATGAACTTAAGTCCAATTTGTTCATGGCACTTCATGACCGAACTTGAAGTCCTGCTAGGTTCGGTCAGAGGGTAATAGACCAGAAACTAACTGAATCCTTGGCATGGGACTTCTAAGCTGGATGAGGTGTGCATTCTTTGTGATTCTTGCTGCCTCTCTGGTCATGTCTCTCCATCTTTCTCGGCGTAGCGCTCATTAAAAGTGACATCCTCATACCCTAGGGCTCCGAACGCCCCATCTCCTCAGGTGAAGGTGGTTAGACCCCCCAAACGCACCCACCCCTGGCCCACCGAACCTCAGGAGCTAGGCCAGGAGCCCTAGGGATAATTAGGTCACAGCCTTCTCCATCTGAAAACCGAGTCTCGGCCTGTAGACTCTGGTCAAGATCTCTTCCTCCAGCTGCGGCATCAAACGCTCACAGTTGGTGACCAACAACTCAATCGCATGCCTTAGGCGAAACACGTCACTCCCGACAAACTCACATGGACCCGGGTCAAATGGGACCTGGGTCAAGACGGTCTTCCTCTACAAACCATGTGGTTTTCAGGTTCCCTAAAGATCCGCACCCGAAACAATACCAAGGGCTTGGTGAACTGGGGCCCCTGCCCCCCTTGGTGAACGGCAGGGCTTCGACCC